ATATGCTCCTCGGGACAGCTTGGCCTCGTTGTACCGTCCTCCTTTTAATCTGATGTTCCATGGCACTTTTGAACAGGTTTGTTTACATCATCTCTTGCTTTTCTAATTGCTTGTCCGCTTTCTTACTTTAACCTTTCTGTATGTTTTTTTCTTTAGGCAAAAACTACATCTTCTTCTCAGGATAAATGGCTTCTCGTCAACCTCCAATCTAACACGGAATTCAGCTCTCATATGGTTACTCTCTAAAATTTCCTTTTCGTGGATTTCTTTTTAAACTCAACCATCTAGGGGTGCCCAATTTGGTTTTTGGTTCGGATATTAAATGTATGAAACTGAGCTGGTTTATTTTCTCTTGGTTTAGATTTTCGGTACGGCTTTAGTTCAGTTAGGATCTGTTAGGACTCACTCACTCTCATCCCAACTTTTTGTGTTTCTTTCTCAAAGCTAAATCGAGATACTTGGGCGAATGAAGCTGTTTCGCAGACTATCAAAGCCAACTTCATCTTCTGGCAGGTTCAGTGTACAACTTACCCTATAAACTTCTGCTTTGGTTAAACCGAACTCTCTTAACAGAAATTGTTATGGAACTAGACCTATGATGATACAACGGAAGGAAGAAAGGTTTGCACATACTACAAGCTCGAATCCATTCCTGTGGTGCTTGTAATTGATCCAACCACTGGTCAAAAGATGAGAATGTGGAGCGGAATGGTCGGACCCGAGACTCTGCTAGAGGATTTAGTGCCATACATGGATGGTGGTCCTCGCGAACATTTTACCTCTCTCTCAAAGAAACGTCCAAGAGGCAGCTTCTCATTGACTCCTCATTCCAAACCCAAAGGTTAGTTCCAAAACTTTTCACCAACTTCAATATCTAGTCCATCGGAAAATGACTATCTCTTAACTGACTTAAATCCTTCAGAGGATGTTGCAAAAAATGAAGATGAAGAACTGCAACGAGCATTAGCTGCTTCCTTGGAAGACAACGACATGAAAGAGTCATCTGATGATAAAGCAACAATAATGCCTGAAGAAGTAGCGGTTGAAGAAGTTACAACTGCTGTGCTGCCAACATTCCCACCTCTACCGGAAGAACCAAAGGGAGGCGATCGTGGCGTCATATGCAGAGTCGGAATCCGTTTACCCAACGGACAAAGACTCCAAAGGAATTTCTTCAAAACCGATACAATTCAGGTTTGCGGATCCTATAAACAAACATTGCTTCTGTGTTTTTCTTTTGTGGTCTGTGAGATTTTCTTACATCTTGTATTGTCTCCGTTGTAGCTTCTCTGGTCGTTCTGCTATTCCCAGCTTGAGGAATCAGAGAGGACGAAGCCATTGAAGCTAACTCAGGCGATTCCAGGTGAATCAAAGACGTTGGAGTATGAATCTAACTTAACCTTGGAGCAATCTGGTGTTGCCAATTCCATGATCTCTGCTACATGGGAATGACAAATCGTATCTATAAAACTATCTATGATGTTGTTTCTTAAGGTTTTATCAGATTAGTTGTTTTTAAAAACCACTTTGTTTTAAAACATTGTGTTATTTAATTTGCAATGAATGGAAAAATCATCTATTCTTGGATCTTACAGAAAAATCTTACATTGGAAAAGTCATCTATTACTGGATTTTATGTTCTCGCTGGTGGATGCGGCTTTCGCGGGTTTGGTGTTGGTCTTCCGTTGCCAGTCTCTGTCGCTTGATTTCGACTCCATCTTGCTGATTGCTAGAGCAGTTTGTCTTGCGGGCTTGCCGGGGTCAGTCTGGTCCAAGCCATAGCATGTCCCTATCGGAGGTATCTGTCTCTAGCAGTGTCGGGCCTTTGGTTCGTCTCGAGCCTTCTCCGTTTTGGCTACAAGTTTTCAAAGGTGGATTTAGCTGTTACCGTATCAGGGGTCTCACTGTCACTGTGGTCGTTTGTTAATTGCTTCTTTGTCCTCGCTGCTCTGCTTTGTGGTTCCGTTGTTGGTCCTTTGCTCATCTCTCCGGCTTAATCTCCCGCCCTACTTGACCCAGTTCGGCTTTACCTAGTTTGAGATGGTTTCGGTCATTGTCGCTACTTAGAAGATCTGGTCGAAGTGTGATCAATTTAAAGGTTTTTATCGAAGGGTCAAATAGTTGTCTCTCGACATTGCCGTTTTCAGATAAACAAAAAAATGTTGAGAACCCGATGTTTACTCATTTGGTTCTTTCTTGTTGCATTAGAAGCCTAAGAATACT